CCTTCTCCCCCCTCACTCTGCAGAGTGCAGCCAAACAGAGACGAGCCTCCCTTGCTGTCCTTGCTGTGGAGCCAGGTGCATGTTGTTCAGCGCTGCACACACAGAACAGGGATCTGGAAAGTGTGACTGAGTGGAGTAAATAGCAGCATCCTTCCTCTTCATCATGGATCTCTGGAGTAAAACAGTCTGGGGAATAATTACGCCGGTCACCCTGATAGTCTTCAGCTTTCACGGGGAAACAAAAGGAGGTGAGTTCAGTGATACTTTATTTTCGGTCACAGAAGAGATCAGATGTGTGGTTGTGGATCTACTGTTTTCATTCATCTCAAATGTCTGAAAAAGTAGTGTATGAGTTACCAAAATATAAAAAAGGTATATCTCTATCTCTCTTGTAAAGAAGTTTTTAGTTGTGCGTGTTGTTAATCAACAAATCCAGAAAAGTCTTTTTGACAGGCGTCTGATTTTTGAGATTTTTCACATGCACAGCAATATATTCCCATCGATTTTTCTTTTCATACATTTTATGCTTGCACGGCTCTTCAGTGGCACAGTGGGGGTCGTGTGCAGGAGGTGAATGAGAAACACTTTCCTCTCACTCCGCACATTGCCCCTGAGCAAGGCACTCAACCCTCACCTGCTGTGGAGCTTCAAAGGCTGCAGAAGTTAGTAGCACTTTGAAGTGTTCCTGCAAGAGTGTGAATGTGAGAACGTTTTATTTTCTTTAAGTATTCATAACATAGTCTCAGAGGCTAATGTTAGGGATTCATTTGTTCTGTTATCTTTAGTTCTAATCTAATTTATTTCATGGTGGGATGTTTCATGAGCACTCTGGAAACCTGTTTGTTGTCAATGCAGTTAAAAAAAGGAGATTCTCTCTCCTTTTCTGAGTTTAATCGTGTCACACTTGTGTGTTTTTTCCTGCATATAAGTGTGGTGATTTGGCAAGCAAGCTGTCAAATCTGAGTAACAAGTTTATTGGTAAATTGTGATTTTGGAAAAAAGACTCATAATGCCTGAGTCACAGAATTTCACGGCATCATTTTTGCAACAATCTGGCACCCTGATTATACACTGTTGTTTTGACACAGAAGCTGTTTGCATGTGCCAAACACTGACATAATAGTGACAATCCTGCAAACACAGTCCAATAAAGTGTGTGTGTCAGAAGCTAAATGTCAACAGGCTTGAGCAAATAATGTTTCATCAGAGGAAATAAAATGCCATTAAGGAGTACAGTGTGGGTGTAGTGGGCACGGATAAATGATGGATATTACAAAGTCAGGTTTATATATCCCTTGATGTACAACAGCTGTTTGAGAGAGACACGCTGACACAATGGGCTTTGAAAGAGTACAATAAAAGATGTATCTTTCATGAACACAAATTCACAAACCATATTAGCATGATTTGTTAAATTGGTGTCCATTGTGCCATGTGCAGATTATGTGTATCATAACTCTTAATAATAATACATTTTATTTTTAGGCGCCTTTCATGACACCCAAGGACACCGTACAATTTGTTAAAAAAAAAAAACCCGCTAATAGGCAACAGAACATGATAAAAACACAAACAGGAAATCATGGAGGAGACAGTCAAGTGGACACAAATGAAACATATAATGGGGAGCACTCCAGTGAGTAGGCAGATTTGAACAGGTGGGTTTTTAATTGGGATTTGAATATGGTGATTGTGTCTGACTGTCGGATATGCGGGGGAAGGGAGTTCCAGAGTCTGGGAGCAGTGCAGCTAAAAGCCCGAGCACCCACTCTTATCCCTAATATACTCATCCCTAATAGCACTATACTGTACATGAGAGAGGAATGGTTATCGTGCTGAGTAACAAATATAACAATACATTTCACATTTGGTCAACATTTTATATTTTTAGTTTTTGTATATTTATTTAATTTTGTGTATTTTTGTAATTGTTTTATTTAATTTATATGTATTACATTTATTTTTTATTTTAATATATATGATTTTATATTATATTTTGTATTTCTTATATTTTATTAGTTTTTTTGTGTCTGTCGTCGATATTCTGGAGTTTTTAGTATAATTTATTTTAAATGTATGTCTTGGTCTATCAACTTCTGACTTGAGAATAAAAAGCTGAACAGAGAAACCACAACCAAAAGAAAATGTCACCGTCTCTCTCAAATGTATAAGCACTGCTTCAAACCACTGCTCTGTCCTCTTTGAGAGCAAACATAGTACATCATCCAATTTATAATCTCTGATGGCAGACCTCTCTCCACACTTTATTTGACTTTGTGTTCGTGTTCTTCCACCGCCACAGGCAAGGTCTGACTCAAGCTATTTGTCAGAGTGAACAAAGGAGGTAAAAGCATCATGAGGGCGGACGTTTCTGTTCCTGCAGCCGTGCACGGTGACCCTGCTCTGAAGCAGCAGAGAATTTAGGAGGCCGTGGGTAGAGAGACAACTCTGTGACATGAAGTTTGAGCCTCGAGAGGCCGACAAGTCTCTCATGAGCACAACTGTGTCCTTTATAAAGAAGCAAAGGGTCCAACAGAGAGCACTCCGGCTCAACATATGCTCATTGATGGCTAGTGACAAATATCTCTGGGATATACAATCAGGGTAGGTTTAGTAGACTGATATTGGACGGGTGTTCACCTCACAATCAACGTCCAATCCATTGCCAATACAGGATGTTTTGTGCCATGTTTGTGTCTGGCTTTCATGCAGGAGACTGGAGATGTCGTCCCATAGCAGACATTCAAAGCTTTTGTAAGACATACAATTTGGATAAATGTTGGCGCTGGACTGTGTTGAAAAGTAAGTAATTTATTAAAGTTGTCTGGACCTGCTGACGTGCAACTGTGCACCATTTCCCAGCTGCCTGAAGAGCAACCAATCTGACCCAAGACCTGTGTTTTTTTATGATGACACATTGCGAGTAAATCGTATAAATCCAATTTGAACCATGCAGGTTATTTTAAAGCTTTGTAAAGTGATGTATCGTACAAACTTTAATGTGACTCCACACTACTGAGGCTAATTAATTCCTGACGCAGTCCCACCTATCATCAGACTGTGTAGGATGATGCCGTATGCATTGCCACATGTCATATCTACAGAATTGGACATATTTGTCTTTACAGGGTTGATATAAGTACCAAATATTATACAATTACTTAAGTTACATATACACTAGAGCTGTTGTTCAGCAGAAACATTTAGGAACAAACGCAACTAAGCAAAAAGCTAATTTCTAAGTTGTAAATTGTGTTTAAAACCATAACTCAACACCTAGCAAATCACATGATTGATGTCAGTCAGCAACACTTACTGTAAGATAGAAATTCTACCTTAAATAACATGTTCCTCATTCGACGCAGACTCTGGGAGAGTCAGAGAGCTAAGAGGCTAATTGCTGGCTGAGGAAGGAGACGTCTGTAACCTTTCACTGCAGATGAGAAGTAGAAACGGTAACTGCAAGTCATTTATACAAACCTGTTCCTGCAAATATGTTGCCTAGCAATCCATTACTGGAGTGAATGCTGTAGTTCAGAAATCATTTATCTTCATTTGTTATTTGCAACTGCAGCTGAGGTGCTTAGATCATCGCCATATTTGTTTCTATTCTTTCATTATTAGTATACCTTTTTAAAATTCCTTTAATACATATAAAGTTTACCATTTGAAGATGTTTATCCCGCTAGAACATATTTACTTGAATTGAAATAAGAGCAAATTGCTTTTTATTCAATAGTGTTTTACTGCGTGTAATTTTCTCTTGATACACCGAGGAAATGACTGCCTTCAGGTTCATTCTGCGAGTATAGCAGAGCTCAGTTTAACGTTCAGTGATGGGATTTACTTGAAATCTTCTTGCCCAGAAAGGAAATGAGATGCTGCATAAATAAACGAATGAACACACACTTATTTCCTGCAATTACCTGCACAATGCTCCCTGAAATACATAAGCAATGAGCAGAAACACCCCTCACTGACATTCAGAGAGTGCTTCTGAGTGCACTCCTCCCGTGTCTGATTGAGACAATTCCCACTCAACTTTAGACTCTAAAACAGAGTGCAGGACACTTTTCATTTCTCTCTGTTTCTCCAGAGTTGTTGCACAAGTCCTCATTTCAGTCAGTGGAGTGTGTTCTCATGTCAGATAACGCCGCTGCGATACCAACCTGTGCACATGTGTGTCCTCGAGGGTGTGCATGTTAGTGTGTGTGTCCTGAGATAAGGAGCTAATGGCCATGTGTGAACATCATGACAGGCGTGTAAGGGAATACTAAGCAGCGACGCAGTAGTGTGTGTTTGTGTGGCTATAAATGTGGTTAGTGTGTCTGTGTGCACATGTGGTGTCAGATAAGGAATGACTCACAGTCACCGGCAGTCTCCAAGAAGAGAGTGCTCACGCCAAATCTAGTGTTTCATTCCAGAGAGAAGAGGCAGAGGAAGTGTTGTCGTCTCTCATGTCACTTTGTAGAGGCTTCTTAGATTTGGGAGCTGGTGATGGATGCTGAGCTGTAGTGTGTTTGGTTAATCAGCCCTAAGCTAAATGATAGGTATTTCTGTATTTTTAATGCTCATTCTAACAGAGTGTTGTGCTGTCACTTGCTGAGAAGTTTCACCATGACCAAAATTGACACATTTAATTATGTGAACGGGAAATATGAGGATTGTTGCTTTAACACATAAACAAAATGACTCATTGGACGCCCAACCATGCTTTTTGGTTACATTATATTATCATCGTCGTACGTCGGGGTAAACCTGTATCTGTCAGGCAGGAATCCAGATGTATTAACCCAGCTACAAAAATTTAAGCGATGAAACTGAAGCCTGCAGGCTATAAATCTTAGTTTGGGACCTATTGATGTTTGCTGGAGGCCAGTCCCTCTGGTGCTCTGGCTCCCTAAACATCATCACTCTTCAAAGGGTCCCGTCATCATCATGGTTTCAGACTCCACTCAAGTTACAGTTCTCTGACTCTCTGCTTCCCTGGGGGTCGTAGTTTAGACAGAATACAAACAAAACTGTCTGTAGGTGCAGGTCCAGGTGTTAGTAGAGTAATCAGCTTCAGCTTTACCTTAAAAGCATCTTCTTTATTGAATTATTCTTGAGTAATGCTCGGGAATCCCTTCAATATGTAGGGATGTTTATCTGATATCTTGCATGTCCTTTGACCTGTTGATCAAGGTTGCAAGTGATGTGATTACAATTAATAAAGTTATACTTAAAATGATGATGATATTGACAAAGC